TCAGAGCTAAGAACCATTTCAATATCATGAAGTGTTTACCTGTTTTCTCGCTATTTTCTCTAGAGTGTGTCTGTTGATTTTGAGATATATCTGAAAAAATAAGGGAAAAATGTTCTATGATTAATTAAACTACCACTATGTAAAAAAAATTAAAACTTACGCCTGTTCATAAAAATCAATACGTATACATCTTTTTAAACTTTCGTAATCTCTCGAAAATTTATATACTGTGTAGCCTGCTTCATGTACCTGCAGTTTCACTATTTTCAGTTTCAGTTTCTGGATTTGTGTCATTCTCTGGTGGCGTCACTTCAGGGGGATTTTGAAGATGGTAAAGGATTTCAGTAAGAAGCTCTTTGGCCTTTTGATCAAACGGGTATTTTCCAGAGAACTCATAGAAGAGTTTTTCTCCGAGAATCATTCCAAGCCAACCTCGAGGTTCGTAGTCTCTCTGCATTTTTAGTGGAATGATGATTTTTTGTAACTTATTTGCATATTCAGCCTCTAGAAAGAAATAGTTTAAATCCATTATTCTTTAATTTTATAATGCTTTGCACATTCAATGCAATGTTTTTTTTTTTTTCTTCGTTGTAGCAATACTTCACGATCTTGGCCTCATGTGACTCTTTATGTAAAACTGTAAATCTCGATCGGCACTGATATATTAGCTTATAAAACCTATCTTTGAGAAGTATTTTGGCTGACGTGTTTTATACCAATTCTTACAGGCCTTTGTTTTTGTTCTAAATTTGACTTCAGAATAATACATCTTACTGATCAAATAAGAGGCTCTCAGCGGGTGTGACCAGTAAATATGTTTACTCCTTCTAGGTACCCAAGTTCTTTGTCAAGAATTTCAAAGGGTCTGTGTTTTATGCCCCGTTCACACTTTTGTATGGTTTTTGTTGTTGTAAAGAAATCGATCACTGTTCGTTATTTTTTTTCGCACTAAATAATTGTTTGTTCTTTACCGAGTTATTTATTGCTTAAAGTATACAAAATCACCAATATTTGTAAAGCAAGAATTACCTTGTCGACAGTTCTTGCTTGTGAAGTATTTAAAAGAATAGCACATTAGAAATATGTGTGAGTGCTCTATGGCTTCTGCCATGGCTTGTAATGTGGACCCCTTCATGCTCTCTTCGTCAATCCAGCACGTGATCTTGTTCCTCTCCAGAAAGTTCTTAACCTTATGTACCATCTCCTTTGACCCCCACTGGTAACTCATCATCACGTCATAATGTTTGGGCTCTTGGCGGGGTGTAACTGGAGCTCGTTTCTTGAAAGATGCATCTAAGTGTAAACAAATACAATACGTTTATATACTGAAGGAAAAAAATACAGCGTAATAAATTAAAAAAAAATTTCAACAATACTAGTATCATGATGAAAGGAACACATGAATTGGGTACTTGAGGACAGGTCCTAACTCCAAATACAATGAAACATGTGGAGGTAACGAACAGTATTCAAGATCAAAAGTCCACAAAACAATACAAAATAGGAGCAGAGCAAACACGGACCTCCAAAACATGAGGTGAGATCAGGTGTCATGGAGGAGTGAGCATCCGCTGCCGACCGGTTACACCACCGTGTGCTCCTTGTCATTTTCGGGAAACAACGGAAAAATCCGTCTGCTGCATAGGGGTCTGTATTCAATTCAGTGTATAAACAATGGACTAACAACCAATATGAAAAACGTCAGTCAGCATTTGATTGAACGCTAAATTGTATTTGCTGACAAAGTCATTGTATCGACCATAGAACTTACGGAATGATGACTTTAAACGAGACTGCTGGTATTCTTGTTTCATCAACTTGTTTGTCAATAATTTACCTGGTTTAAAAAATTGTTCAGCATGTTCTTGCGTATCGAATCAACTGAGAGACATAAACTCCGTATACAGGCGATGAAGGTATATTACTGAATAAGTAAGGGAAGTTGATGATAGAAAAATTATCCAAATATGAAACAGATGTGTCAGACTTTGTGATATCTTTTATCTCAAGCTCACAAGGATATATCGTATCGATATAAGAATGGAAATTACTATTAATAATTGACAATACGTCGAGTTGAAGGCCACGGTAAATGTTATCTTCTTTTCGCTTATAAGATTTTGCATAAATGCTGCTTCATAAAAATTTTATGCTCACTAGAAAAAACACTTGATTTTTTTCTCCTGTCATATTTAAATTGCTATTCTAGCACTTGAAGTATTTAGATAGTTTTCTTAATATTACATTTTTAAAGTTTTCATCGTTCATAACACTGCAAACATATGATTTAAAGTTTTTTTTTTAAATCCATTTTTGAGGGATAATAAATCTTTTCTGGAAAAACAGTTTGGTTCAAATTAACTGTGCTGGGGAGAGCAGGTCTTGTACCTGTGGTTTTAGGCAGCAATGTATTTTTCAAAAAAAAAATCATGATTTCAGTCAATCTCAACAAGATTTGTGTGTTTGCTAAAAAAATATCATTTTTTACCTTTTCTTTGAAAGATTCAAAAGAAAAAAATACACTACATCGTGTAAAGATTTTGTGGCCATAAAACCTTAATAATGCTACTTCATAATCAACTTTCATTTTGGGAAAAGTCTGTATCTCTATTTTTATAAAATCTAATTCACTCTTTCCAACTTTAAACTTACTGGTGGCTGCAGATTCTTGTCTGGATTTTGGTTGACTCGACAACCGTTGCTTCAACGCTTTAGAAAAGGTTTCTTCCTCCAAGAAATCCATCTGTGTTATAACAGAAGCGTTCTGCATATCATATCCCAAAGTGGCAAAGACATTTAAGAGTAATTCAGCAAACGTTTCCCTTATGATTTCATTCTGGTTGTCTCTTCGCGGTTCATCTTCATAGCCAGCAATATATATACCGTCCGGTTTGACTCTTTCTAAAGAATAATTTGTAATTTGGCTAAAAGTATTTACAAACTTTATCATCATAATGATAGCTTTCCAGTCCATTTTGTGAGTTTTAGAAATAAAATTTCCCTTTTCTGTGATGGAATTTCTAAGCTCTTCGGGATCTGCAACAGATTTGCGTTTCCTGAGAATGGGTATGCCAGCATGCCTCGGTACTTCCTGTAAATCAGATTCCCAGTGAGCCGACGCTTTGCTGTGTTGTAGAATTTGTCTCAGCATGTCGTGCAGGACTTTAACCTGATCTTCGGTCACCTCGCAGTCATTGATTTCGGACCTCAATGTAGCGAACCTTTTCAGCATTGCTCTTGATTCTGCATATGAGATTAATAAAGGAACAGATTTTAACATATAATTTTGCTTGTCCATTGTCCTTTAAATTGATTCATGTAAAATGAACTCTATTTTGAAAGGTAATTAGAAGCGAAAAAAACATCTTGTCACTAAGATAGGCATCTCATCAACATATTTTGTTCTGGGATACCTAATGGCAATTATACCATATCCCCAAAACTATGAAAGGCAACATCGAATGTCAGAATATGAAAATTTTCTTGACTTTCAAACTGCAATGTCTGCTTTTGGGATATATCGTACAACTCAGGAAATGCACTGTTAAAATACCATCTGGTATGGAACGTAACAGCTGCTTTACCTGAAGGGCCCTCACAGTATGATAAGCTAGCGTATTATATGTCATGGTATTCCATAATTTGGAGTAAAACCTTTTTGTGAATATATAAAAAGTCCGATTAGTTATCGTTAGAGCTTATGTGTTGCTTAAACGAGTATTGCTTATGCGGCAATATATTCCAACTTTATTGAAAGCATCAGAATTTTGAAACAAAAACGATTTATCTGGATTAACATTAACCGTATACTGCTTGCTTTGCTACATTACCTTTTCTTTCTTTTTCAATTTCAGCCAACTCAGCTGCCGTCTTCAAAATGACATCAACAGCCCGGGCGTCGATGTTTTTAAACATGGCGATCAATTCCTCGTATTTACCGGGAGCTATGAGTCCTTTCCGTTCCATGCACGTGAAATCCGTCATAATTGGAGAATCGTCGTGCTGGGCGGAGTCGCAGAAGCGCCGCATCTGAGCCTTCCATCGCGAGACGTTTTTGTTGTGTTTAGTTAATTTCATATTCAAAAAGTCTCTAATTAGCAATTTCCGCAAAGTTTCGTGCAGTTCTAATTTCCTTTGTCTAAAACTGCGAAAGAAAAATAACTTTTAGTTGACAAGTTGTACGCGAAATAAGTTCTTATTCTTATTATTTGAGTTACAATAAGCACAATTCTAGTCTCATTTATAGGTGATGGTTATTTCATAATGAAACTTCTCTAGACATAGTATGAAGTTTGTACTTTTATTTGTCTTTTTTTGCATAACTTGTCTGATTTTTTAATGTAACTGTTTTCAGGCCTTGATATTTTACTTGTTATGATATCAAATGATTTGTACGTTCTTATTAAAGAAATAGGCGAAGTAACTTTGAGTTTTTACCATAATTCTTCGAAAGTTGAAATTAAAAAAACCTTGATGAATATCTAGTTTGTACAAAAAGGTTTTACTTAGAAAGAATGGTGAATACTCTTGTTTTTTTTTTCTCGTAATTTTCCCATTTTTCAGAGACAAATTCTTTCAACATTAGTTTATATCATCATCACTTACACGTATTTAAAAAAAGAATATAAAATCATTTGTTAAATTCCTAGGAAAATGGAATTGTATTTTTTTTGAGTTGCCCATTCCTTAAAAAAATTAGATACATTGGATATAGCTTTAAATAGACTATGCTTGTATTTCTTTATTTTCCAAGTGAACACTAACATCTTATATGAAATACTAGACATGATACGCTTGATTGAAAAAGGTATTGAAAATATATTAGATAAAGGTACTTACTTTGACATTTCTAGGTATTAATTTCTTTCCTTAAAAAATAAGTTTCCCTACAAACAAATCATTATCATTAAGTGTCCCAAAAACAACATCACAGGACAAATGCACTGCCAAATAAATTCTTTATGTTCATGTTAAATTAGTCTGATTTTAAACTACATTTAAAACAAACAGGCTGACATGACACATTTAATGTTGTCGCACTAATTGTCAAAGAAGATTATTTAAAGATAAAAAGGAATTAAAGGTTAATGCGTGTTACGTTATCTATATTTCAATCGAGCAAACTGAATTTGTAAAACATTGATTAAATCTATATTAATTCTATCCACAATCGGAAGTGAGGTAATGTTTTATCTTTTAAAGTACCTTATACAGTTTAAGATTTTGAAAGAGTAATCCAACGGCACGAGGAAGTATGCAACAATTACTGTGACTTAACTATGAAAATAAGCAGTGTACTAAAGAAGTTATTTACAAGTAGATACTCATTTTCTTAAAAACAGCCAGAGATACTGTCAGCACTGAGCTCATTAAATGAAATCCCCGCCTCCAATAATTCTATAGTGACAAAATCCATGATTAGCTCTGGGAGACCCGAAATAAGTGTGAGATCAACAAGTAAAATAGAAGCTGCACAATGGCATTACATGTATGCATTAAAGAATCTGTTAAAGTAACATTACATTGATGCAGTGGTATAGGAGGAGTTGCGGATAAGAGATGGGTACTTTTCAATATTATAGAAAAAAATGGCAGTGTCAATGTTTTGTTATGGGGAACCCGAAATATGTTTCTGATCAAAACGTAAAAAGGGGGTCACAGTAGCACTATGTAAGAAAGAATCTGTGAAAATCGCATTGAATTTCATTCAGGGGTATAAGAGGAGTTGCGGATAAGAGATGGGTACGTAAAAAACGAACCGACGGACCGAAATCCCGATCACTATTTACCCTCCCAATTTTCAAGCGGGTGGGGGTATTAAAATAAATATCGCATTTCAGAGGAATTCATTCTAACAAAAAAATCATCAATATTTGATATTTATCTACATTATTCTACATTTTAATATATTAAAACCTTCAAAAATTTTACAAAGAAAACTAGAGGTACTGTGAGCACTGAACTCACTAAATGATACGCCCATCTCATTTATGATTATAATGGCAAAGTTCATGTTTTGCTCTGGGAGACCCAAAATAAGTGTCTGATCAAAAAGTAAAATAGAAGGTGCACAATGGTATTATGTATTGAAGAATCGGTGAAAGTATCATTAAATTGTATGCAGTGTTTTATAGGAGGCGTTGCAAATAAGAGATTGGTACCCCTCAATATTATAGATAGAATGGCAGTGTCCATGTTTTCCTATTGGAAACCCAAAATATGTGTGGAATCAAAAAGTAACATAAGAAGTGCACAAAGAAATTGTGAAAGTCTCATTTAATTTTATTCAGGGGTATATATATGGGTGAGTTGCAGCTAAGAGATGGGTACCACAGAGCGTAACGGACGGACGGACTTGCAGATCACTTTATACACATTTCGCGTGATGGGGGAAAATTGGATGTTACCAATACATATTTGATTGATTTAGTCGCGTTGATGCTCAGTACGCGTTCGTATCTATACATTTCCCTCCCAGAAGCCATTTTATCTCTCTGCTTACTATATGTTAGCGATAGAATCAATCAAGGTCATCGAAATCTAGTCATATAAACGTCATTTAATAGCTTCCATGTAAGAATCACGGGTTTTATCAAAATTGTTAAATTTAAATATACATAAAGCCACACGTTGAAGATAACTAAAGTGAGCACATGTCGTTTTCAGTAATTTGTTTTAACTAGTTACTAATAAGTGAAAAATCTCAATACTATCGTCTACAGGACATATATTGGAAAATAAAAGATAAAATCGTACATTGGAATTCAGCTTTGATTGCAGTACGATAAAATTCTATTAAAAATGGAGGTTAAAAGGACATTTTAAGAAAAATATTAAGAATCTAAGAACTAGATATAAAGATCCCGAGATCAAAGCTAAAAGGAGGTAATTTTCTAAATATTGAATAAAGTTTCATTTTACAATGCCATGTGCGTTTATTTGCACTTATTTTTAGTGCTTAAAATAAAATGAACATAAACCCTATATATTAAACATTTTAAAGTCCTACATATTTTGGCCAATTGAGTGTACAATGAAAATTTAACATTTTCATGCAAAAGACATAACGGCTCAGCACCCATTTCCTATCTTTGTATTTTATATCCTGACTGAAAACGGTAAGATCAAAATAACAACTCATAACAAACGATGACATCTTTTTCCAATATCATTTTGTTTTCTTTCTTATCAGTAATATTCTGCTATCACCTGCTTATGGTGTTTGTCTTAAATTTATTCAAGAGCATGCATGAAGAAAAATAAAATTTTTGAAACCTTAGCATTCTACTAACAAAAGAGTCGTCTTCGTTAGTAAGGTTGATCTTATAAATTGTAATTTAGAATAATTTGAAATTTAATTCTTCAAGTAGTAATCCAACTTAGACTCATAGTTCCCTTTCTAAGGAAGAGATTTTTCAAAATTATTTGTCAGTTTTGAATATTTTTAATATCCCAAAGAACCAAAATGAATTTGAACTACCATATCTATACTGGATACAGAACTTTCATAAAATCGTTTCAAAAAAGATATAAAGCGGGTTCTAGTAAATGTTCAACCAACCTTTTTTCTTTACTCCTCACTAAGATATTAACAGTAGTGAAGGAGAAACTTCAAGAGTACAGTGCAATAATATATTCAAGAAATGGTGTAAATTAGATGTGGATACTCAAAAATTCCAGGGATCTTTTGGACAATTTGAAAGCACAAGATTTTACCAAAATCAACAGCTAAAAAACTTACGACTTCTCAACTTTGTGCACAACAATTCCCTATGATACATTAAGTCCAGTCTTTTTTTATTTCATTGACAGTTGCTTTTAAATAAAAAAAATTGGAACTTGTGAATTTACTTACCTCGTCATTGGTCATTTGCAAAATTTTTTTGTTAAAAAAATCTGATTATACACACACACGTACTCTGAAGTTGACATCGAAGAGATGCTAGAGTTTCTGATGGACAATATCTATGTTGTTTTTGGAGACCAGATCTTCCAACAATCTATTGGAATTCCCACGGATACCAATTGCGCCCCGTTATTAGCAGACCAATTTTTGTATCCACATGAAGCAGAATTTATGAAAAATCTTATGTTTGAAAAGAAGAAAACACTTGCTGTGGATTTCAACTCGACATTTAGATATATCGACGACGTATGGTCAATTAACAATGGTAACTTCCACTCCTATGTCGATGCGATTTATCCTGGGGAGCTTGAGATAAAAGTTACCTCGGAGTCTGATACATCTGTTTCATACTTGGATATTTTACTTGAAATACACGTTAATGGTAATCTAACAAGCAAGCTCTATGATAAACGTGATTACGTTAACTTTTCTATTGTCAACTTCCCTTACTTATGCAGCAATATACCTTCATCACATGCAAACGGAGTTAATATGTCTCAGTTGATTGGAAACGCAAGAGCATGTTCTAGTATGAACAATTTCTAAAACGAGGTAAATTATTGACAAACAAATTGATGAAACAAGAATATCAGCAGTCTCATTTAAAGTCATCATTTTGTCAGTTCTATGGTCGATAAAATGACCTTGTCAGCAAATAAATTTATCATTAAGTCAAATGCTGACTGACGTTTTTCATACTATGATTGTTAGTCCATTATTTATACCCGGAAATGTCGACATATTTTTCCTTTATTTCGCAATCATGACAAGGAGCACACGGCGGGTGTGACCGGTCCGCAGTGGATGCTCACTCCTTGATAGCACCTGATCCCTTCTCTGGTGTTCTAGAGGTCCGTGTTTGCTCTGCTCCTATTTTGTATTGTTTTATGGACTTTGATATTGAAAACTGTCCGTTATCTCCATATCTTTCATACAGTGATTCAAATTTTTATGATCATGAAGTTTAAGCTATACGAATGAATCATTTTAAGTGAGCGATGTTAGCACCTCTCCTTGGAGATTTTTTTTAAAAATTACCTACTCACATAAATGCATACAGCTGTATACATATTAACATCACTTTGTAATGAATGCAAAACATATATACTCTTGTTATTTTTAATTAAGTTAAATGAAAGTGATTTTTCTATGAGCGATGGGAAGCTAAGTACAATAAAAGGATGTTTTAAGCAACAGAAATAAATGTGTTTAAATTAATGTAATTGACCCGCCGCCTTATCTGTACAATATACATATCTACTCTGAGTGTGTCAGTTACATTTCAGATAGTATGAAATTTGTATCGAGATTTTGATTATTTTCATTTAGTATACAAAATTCTAGATATCAAGAATCCTGTTAAAAAATGTCAAATAATGTGGTATTAAAGATTCCCTTCATTTCAAATTCTTATAAAATGCTGCCAGAGAAATTCGGAAGTGTTATCTTTAATAGTGTAAACTACATGAAAAAAATTATGTTAAGATAAAAGAGAAAAAAATATACTAGGCAATGGTAAAATAAAAAATGATAATATTATCTTAAGACACCGCAGTGCAGTTTTATTTTGTAAGTAAATCTTTATTAATGTTGTGACCGGGTTTCTACATTGCTTCTCAGTGACTTGCTGGTTGTTTTCAGAAACCCTGTAGGTTTTATAATGTCCATTTTATCAAATGTCTTAAATATGATCTCCTATCACTATTTTCTTCTCGATTTTCATTATTTTCAACGATAGCACAGTGGGAAAATTGAGAATGTAGTTCATGTATGTAACCAGTCTGCCATACAATCACGTTTGTTACAATTATGATATACATGTATATTATCAATTATCATAAACAAACGTGAATTTTACTCAATTTTTGCCTGTTGTATAGAGGAATATTTATAATATTCAATGGAAATGCCATTTTGTTACAAATCCCAAACAATTGTTTAAAGATATTGAAAAGTAAGGAAAAACAGAACCCCAGTTTAGTGATATTTTCTAGTTTCTCGAAAGAGCTTTGAAAAAATGAAAAAAATATTTGACGTCGTCAGTCAAAGTTTGTGTCCAAAAATATAATGCACTGACGCTGTACACCATATTTTCATGAGGAAGAAATCAAAGATATTCCTGATTGCTTATAGCCGTCAGAAGTCATTTGAAACCTGTTTCAGCTTCCAAATACATAAAAGATTATAAGACAAAAAGTATAAATATATAATTTTTATTATCAGAGTACGATATGTTTCTGGTATACATATTTACAATGATGTTTATACACGTGTTGATCACAAGGTGCTCCTTGGGACAAACATTGTAGGAACTTGGATAGTGCTGATAGAAATTTTAATATGGCATTATGGCTGAACTTTACAATGTTAAAGTATGCTCACAGTTACTTAAAAAAGGGCAACACATAAAATACAAATTAGAAACACCTTCATCCATTACATTCATCTTGATTTGATACGTAGTCGTTTGCAACTTACAGAGGAAATAGAACTTTAATCTTAAATTTGGAAGTCAATGAAGCCCCGACTACATTAATTTTTGCAAAGAAATAGGAGTTGAAAAAATTAAACTCGGTATATATCACTTCAAATATTGCACTTCAAAAATATGTTTTTACCAAAAAAGAATGTCTACATGTAAGTGAGTGAATTAAAAGAAATAATTTAGTCAAAACGAAAACAAGGTCATTAGGTTTCTAGACAGATGGTTTATCCAATTGCTCCCTCCCTCCCACTCTCTCTCTCCCTCCCTCCCTCTCTCTCTCACCTAAATTATCACAATATGAGGCAGATTCTTTAATCAATTATTTTCTTACTATGAACCAATTTCTCTACACTCGTTCTACAATGATTATTCTAAATATCATAAAAATACACTCCATGTATGGAATATGAAAAACGATATACTGGTAAGCGCTAATGTTGGTGCAAGATGCTGCCCACTTGATGAGCTTCGGGCTGATGTACTTAATGATGGCAGTAAAGAGTTCCAAAATTCCATCCTCCGGGGATGATATGTGTCCTCAGCACTAACGACCAGAGAGCCATTACTCACATGAAGTCGGTTGTAGGATCTTGATGGTGAGTACTTTTGGAAAGGTTTGGAACCAACAGAAAACACCCTGAAAACAATTCATTCAATCAAAAAAGGCATATTTTTCTATTCTATATAGTTTTATTATCGTTTTATGTAATTTAGCTCTTATAAAATATTTATCGACGACGAAAATTGAAGTTAACGTACCTATTTTATTTGAAAAATACAATTTTATGATATCTTTATCCAAATCTATTTAGCTTAAGCTTGCAGTCGAATTTTATAGCACTTAAGTGTCTTTTAATCATGCTTTTAGGCATAAAACTTTCGATTTTATTTCTTATATATTGCAAATTGAGCTTGTTAGCAAACATGACGTCAGCTGTAGTGCATGAGGGCAATTCCTTCTCTTTAAAAATCTAAATCAATAAACAATGCACGATGGCTTCAAAGACATACAATAGAAAATGAAAAAAAAATGTGACAATAAAATTAAGTTATTAAAAAATATCACTGAACAAAGTGAATGAGGTATGTTTTTGTTTATAATTACTGCAAACGAAAGTATTACGTTGAATGAGTTTACAAGATACAATAAAAGAAAGTCAAATAAAGTGTTCAGCGTGATATTCTTAATTAATTTTTGTTTGACAGAAGAAAACTCAATCAAGTGATTTTTTTTTCTTCAATATAAACTCATGATGATTCTAATAAAATATTAGTCTCTCTGAATAGAGGTTTAAAAAGTTAATATTAAAAAGCAGGTTAGCGCCGATATATAAAAAGGGCTGAAATATTGACGAAACTATTTAGAATCATAAATTTGTTTAAAAAAAATTAAATTAAAATCTTTGAAACTTGTATCATGTGAAATATATACTGATTGTACCATTTGTTACATTTTTAAAAATATAAAACATTTAATCACGCTGTTAAAATTTAATACTTAAGAGGAAGATACTCAAATAATATACAAATAAGAAAAGACATACCCCGTTTTGACAAAGTTGGTCCACATCGTCATTGTCATCGTACTGGCCTCCCTATCTCTGTCGTCAAAGGTAAACTGGGGGTGTCCGACGTGAGGTAAACCAAAGATGTAAAACAGATCAGCGCCATGTGGGATCCCTGTAGAAATATTGTGTATGTCAAGAACACTTTATTTGTACTACTGTATCACACAACAGCTTGTTTTTATGTTCTTTACAGTTGTTGAATTGTTTAAGGGACAAAGAAATCTCAGTAGAATATAATATTACTAGGATTACCTTCCCAGTCCCTTAATTTATTATTCGCTGAAATATATTCAAAACTGAAAAACGTGATGTCATTGACCCCCGCTGACGTCAGAAGGTCGGCTAACTTGACCATGGGAGCCACAAATACTATGTCACTCTCCATCTTGTAAAATAAGAAAAAATATATGTATACATATACGAGTATGTGTAAAAATTGGGTCTGTACTCGATTAATTATCATATATTTTGCCATTTAGCGTAACTTAACAAAAACGTTATGTTCATACCTACCTGTGTGTATCGTTCTAGAATATTGACCTCCTCATTGCGATTGGTAAAATTCTCCCAACCACCGTATTCATGCATAATCAGATCTAAAAATAAAAAAAAGGTTTTATTTACTAAGTGAATTTTTCAAAATCTCTTATATTTCCCAAAAGATCCTAGGTGAAGCTAGACTCACGACCTCAGTAAAGGAAGATTGGTGAAATCTACACATTCCTCTTTAAAAAAATCTTTGACAAAGAAGCAAAAGGAAATGCCACCATCATCCATGTATAACAAACAATTTGACACAAAATTCCTTTACATGAATAGCAGCTTCATCTTGATACGCTCTGAATTCATTCTTTATCGTCATTACATTTTCATCCTCCCTGTAATGTTTGAAAGACCCTTCATAGTTTCTAATTATTTCCTAACTGTCTTAATTAAAATGAATATTTGTTTTCAGAGTTGAGTGCACAGCCCTGATTGTTATAAATAAATACATTTACAAATAATGAGAAGATACGTCACCCCTTTCATGATTCTCTGAGTTTTGTGAAAAAAGAGACAGTCCTATCATCCAGTTGACTAAACAGTTTTATGTCATTGAAGTGGAGGTCTGTGATTGTTCTGCTCCAAATTTGTATTGTTAAATGGAGTTTTCAGCTTGAGTGCTGTTTGTTTTCTCTTGTTTTTTGGGTGCTAACGTGTTTCATTATACTTACCATCGAGATTGGGGACTTTGGGGTAGATAGGTTTGTACCAATCCAGAACCTGGCGAAATGTCTCCTGATCAAATTTGCCTGTTTTACCCTTCACATTGTCGTGCACATACATGACTGAAATAACACAATAATACAATTTATCATTGAGTTAAATGCTGACTGACGTTTTTCATACTTGTAAGTCCATTATTTATACACTGAATCGACGTCCGATTTTTCCGTTTGGATCATCAGATTATCACTACTAATGTTGAAAAGAAAAAGGGTTCCCAGCTTGATAATAACGTCAATGCTGATTGAAATTCTAACTTAACAATCAGGAACTTGAAAATCAGACAAGCTTAGTAGAAAGATTTGTTTACGATATTTGAAGATCAATGAAGATAAAAACCCACTACTGATCTGTTACTTCTTAAGGGATCACACACTAAAATTTGGCAAAATAGTTGCAAGCATAACCAAAAGTGAGTTGTATTACGGAAGAAAAGAACTAGAGAATGACGGATATTTGTGAAAACACTGAGGTCGTGACATTAAACATACCATCTACAGATCCCTCGTCCCTTGTAATGGAGAAGACGAAGGATTCACAGTTCATCTTTTTAGCTTGTATGGCTGTTTCTGGTCGTTCTGTGATGAATTCTTCATCAACGATGGACACCGGAAACGTTAAAACTTGTTGATACTAAAATAACAGTAAAAAGAAGCAATAAGTAATTTTACTAAGTAGAAGCTTCAGTTTTTAACATGAATTTCTTTATTAGAAAAATAGTTTTTTCTCGCTTTATCAAAATAAATAAAGCTATATAAATAAGTACATGAATGCGTTTTAAGTATAATTCTCGTTTAAAGTAGCACACCTATAGGAATTGTCAATATATTAATTGTATTTTCTATTTGTCCTAATGAAATATTTAAATAAGGTGCAAAGGTATTGGTAGATTATTGATATGCATGTATGTTAGATATCGTATCTGTATAATACCTTTTTAGTATGTGTTAATGAAAGGTAGAAATATTAAAGACATTCAAAGGTAAGGGCTCCGTTTTGAGCTTGTTTAATTAGATGAAACATGGAGTTACTAACATTAATCAAGACCAAAATTCTGTTTTAAAAAACACAAATCGGCTGCATAGCAATCAGGAAGCTCTATAACATCAGATAAGAGATCAGGTGCCATGGAGGAGTAAGCATCCCATGTTTGTTAATTACACCCGCCCTGTGCTGATTGAAAAAAAAAACGGAGAAAATTCATAGACAATTTATTATGTACAAAATGTCCTTCAATTGAGTATGAAAAAATATCAGTCAGCACACGAATTAACGATCAATTCAAAGATTGTATTTGCTGCAAAGGGCAATGTATGGACAAGAACTTGCAAAATGGCGTGGATATGTACAGGTATGCTTGTGTGAATGTATGAAACATGTCAGGTTTGTGAATATGGGATTCTTTGTTAATAAATGTATATAACTCACATCTGTGGGTATGGGTGTGATATTGCGGTTCGTGAACTTTTTCCACGGCAGTTGCATTAAATAATTCTTGAATTCTTTAGGGTCTCGGTTTCTGGGACAGAGATCTCTGTCGCAGTGTTCAGCGATGTTGTATCCCGGCTTCCAGTGGGGCGCCGCTAATCCCCAGAAAGCAATTGGGGAACCACTCATTATCATGGCGCGACGGAATAATCCTATAATAAAAGAAACAAAAATGTAAATGATGTTATAACCAACTAAAAATATGAACAGTCTTTATCTTATCATAGATGTTAGCTGTTATGAAAGAGGTGCATCACTTACCTGTCAAATGGCACCTGATTCAACGTCTGATATATAATAAATTTTAGAGATCCGTGTTCGCTCTGATCCCGAATTGTTTTGATTCAATTGTCTTTGAGCTTGATTATTGTTCTTTATCAAAATATTCCAATGTACAACAAAAGAGTATTATACCTTTGCTTAAAGGAGAGATCACATGAAACCCTACGTCAGCCGCCCCTGCGCTATGTCCAGCAATGGTGACCATTTCTGGGTCTCCACCAAACTTAGCTATGTTGTCTTTTACCCAGTGAAGCGCCATCACCTGATCAAAGAATCCGTAATTTCCAGTCAATCCCTCCTTTCTAGCTGCATAAAACCCTAAAATATTAAATTGCTTGTAATCAGATAGTAGGTGAGATGAAAGCAGTCAAGGTTATACACCGATATTACATAATCTTACATTCTTTTAGGAATCAGCAGGATAAAAAACACCAAAGTTGACCTTCACAAAGCTATCTCGTAAGAGGAAATTAAGGGTAACTACCTAGAGAACCAAGGCGGTAATTAAAATTGACAACGATGATGTCTCCAAACGCCGCCAAGATATCTCCTCGTAACATTGCCCCCATTCCTACTCTGTTAGAGCCGCCGTGCACATACAGAAATACAGGGATGTTCTGAGAGACTCGCTGTAAATAAAGAGTAGTTAGTATTAAATCGTCGCGACGTCACGACTGTTAAAAGAGCTACGTCGTCAAAAGTTGAGAATGGATCAAATTTAGTCTAGATGTTCCGAGTTCTAATTAACCTTTCATATCAAAGAAATTTTATTTGATATTTTATATAATTTTGAAAATTTACCCATCCACTATGTTAAAGAGTATGATAGATTGAGTATTCCTGTTGCATTTAACGATTTTGAAATCATTGATTGATTGTTCTTTTTTACACCGAGTCAGCAAATTTTTCAGCCATATTTTGGTAACTTGCCATTTTATAAATTAAGAGTAATTCATTTATTTGATTTTTGTACATGTATATTAATTATAAAGATTAATTAAATATCAAATAAAACATTAATTAAATTTTTCAGGATGTCCTCAAATAATTCCACTTAAATTTTACTGAAACAACAGAATATATTCAAATATTAGAACAAAGTATGGTTTCAACTGTTCAATTCAAATTTAGCCCTGTATTAATTCAAATTTAGCCCTGTATTTTTATTAAAAATGGAAGTAATGTAAGAAATCAAAATTCATCTTTTTCTGAATTATTGAAATTCTGTGCTGTAAAAAACCTATAAGTCGTTTTTCTTATATGCCCTCCTAAATAGTGATTGTGATGTCATGAACTTGTGCATTTTCCCGTATTTTCTTAAAAAGTTGTAGAAGACATCAATTTTCACTGGATTTTTTCCCAGAAAACATACAGCACATGTATCGTCCACACAGATTTTTATATTTGTGATTTTTAAAAGCATTTTACACTTTATATCAAAAAATTGAAGTGGGCGAGGGTTGTGGACACTATTTTCTAGAGGAAAATAACTACAGAAATAAGTCATTTTGAGGCTTTTCTGCTAATAACTAAAAAATGCCCCATATTTATGACGTCATATTCTTTATGCTTCACAAATTGTACTTTAAGACTTGCATCTTGGTCAGGAATGCATCCAATAATATAATTATTGCTGATAAAATATAAATAAGTATATAAAGAACAAATCAATGAGTAGAATGATTTGTCTTGTGAAGGAATATATATTATAAAATGTACTTTTATCATATAAATATTTGTAGCTAGTTTTTAAAACATGTATAGGGAATAATTTTAGTTATAAAGCAAAGTTTAAATACTTTTATACGTTTTACCCATGAAATAATGTGAATATTGCACAATCTCGTAACCATGTCTCTGTGGACGTACATTTGTAGTCATATTTATCCCCCTCCTATAAATTCACTCATAAAAAATCAAATTCCTTAAAAGAAACTGTCTATTTTGTTGCCACTTTAGAAATTTAAACTAGAACTCATGCACAATATGATGACATAAGCGAAATATATTGAATGATTCTTAGATTTTTCTCATTATTTTTTTAAAATCATCCAGCAAGAATTAAAAAAAATGGGTATAAACTGTAACAATATATGTACTTGTTCCGCATAAGTGTACGAGGGGTGATTAAAAAGTTCGCGAACTAATTGAATAACTTCCATAAAAGAAATAGTATTTGTTTTTATTGTTGATTATATTTAAAATTAATCCTCCCCGATTTTAATGCACATCAACCACCGTTCTGCGCATGCGTGAATCACGTGATATTGGCGGTCACGTGACCCCCTCCGTAGCGTTCTGTCACAAAAGTTGAAAGATTTTTCTGAGTTTTATATTTCTTTCCATGTGAGTTAATCTTTATGACAAGAACAGTTCAATTGTCAGAAATTGTCATATCTCGGCAACAGAATGGGTGGATAAGAATATCCTTTCCAAAAATATGCATGGCGACCATTAAAACACAAATCTTCTGTCTCGGGAGAGACCTTTATTCAAGGTGGATAGAGAATGGTTGCCTCGTTTTTAATATATCTAATATGTTTAAAATCTAAAGTAAACGATATCTTAGGTATTTAATACTTATATTATTGTTCAAATATTCAACTATTTTTCAAAGTGTTAATTGGAGGTCTTTGATAGCAAATTGCTTAATTAAAAATACATATCTTTTCAAACTTGCTTTCACTGGGCAAGATGACAAGTATCATTTTTAACCATCTGCCTTCCTTCACTAAAACGATCAATCCAATCATTAATTGAATTTATAGGAACTCATTTACCTCAATAAACTGTGTGCAAATTATTATATGTTACTGCAGAGGGATTTCTAAGATATACAGTAAACTGTAAAGTCGTTTGTTGAACGAGTTCGACTGAGACAACCATTTTTCGTCACAAGTGACCTACGTAGTGACGTCATTTTCACATTGTGACGTCACAAACAAGGAGAAAAACTTTATTCAGCATATGCTATTTATATTTCTTGTGTATGGCTATGTGTGTACCGAATTTCATTCCAATCTGAATTGTGGTTTTGTAGATATAGAGATAGTTCGCGAACTTTTTGATCACCCCTCGTACTTCCGTGTGACGACCATATGGCTACGTAATAGATGAAAATATGAAAAAAAAACGAAAAGTATTCAAAATAAAAAGTCCATTAAACAATACAAAACAGGAGCAGAGCAAACATGGACCTCAGAATATCAGAGATAGCATCAGGTGTCATGTCGAAGTGAACATCCCCTGCCTACCCGTTAAACCCGCCATGTGCTCCTTGTCATGATCGGGAAATAACGGAAAATTTCGTCGTCAATTCAGTGTGCATATAATCATTATTATAATAATGGCCTAACAATTAGCATGAAAACAGTCAGTCAACATTTGACTTAATTATAAATTGTATTTGCTGACAAGGTCATCATTGTATCGACCATAGAACTTACGAAATGATGACTTTAAATGAGACTGCTGAGATTCTTGTTTCAGCAACTTTCTTCCTATAATTTGCTTCCTTTTAGAAATTGTTCATTTGTAGAACATGCTCTCGCGTAACAAATTTACTGAAAGTTATAAACCCCGTATGCAGGTGATGAAGGTATATTGCAGCATAAGTAAGGGAAGTTGACTAATGCAAAAAAAAGTAATCACGTTCATCTTAAAGCTTGGTTGTTAGATTACCATTGACGTCTTTTTGAAGTAAAATATCTAAACATGAAACAGATTATTAGACTTTATGTTATATTTCTTTTTACTAGACTAGTATTTCAAACTCACCAGAATATATCGTATCGACATAAGAATGGTTATAACCATTGTTAATTAACAATACGTAGTCTATATATCTTAATGTCTAGGTAAAGGCCACATCATATTTTTTTATTTTTTCAAATATAAGATTTTGGATAAATTCTGCTTCAAATCAGTACAAAAATAGGTCTGCTAATAATTGGGTGCAATTGGTACCCACGGGAATTCCAATAGATTGTTGAAAGACATGGTCTCCAAAAATTACATTTTATATATTTTGAATCAGAAACTCAAGAATCTTTTAAATATCAACTTCAGAGTACTTGTGTACAGTCAGAATGTTTTTAAAAAAATAATTTCGCGAATGATCCATGACAAGGTACTTAAGTAAGTAAATTGACGAGGCCCATTTTTATTCATACGGTATTCAATTCGCTGTGCTAAATCTAAGCATGAAAACATAAAATTGACCGTTGCTTCGCCAAACGTTTTATTTAATAATCGTATGGTTTATTAGCCCATATACTTCTAATAGTAAACTTATGGCCAGTGTAAAGCTAGAATAAATATTGAAGAATACATTTTTTCGTTTAAAAGTTAGTTTAAGAAGAAGGCATTTATGTAAAAACAAGGGCGTTGCAAAATTCCATTTTCCTGATTGGCCTCCGTGCCAGTACAATTGAATCATACAGTCGTATCGCAAATCAACTACACACATATCATATTCCAAATTATTATTTCCTACTGCAAAAAAAAAATAATAATAATAAAATAAAAATGTATAAGCATACATATTTTGTAGCATTCAAATGAAAAAGAATGTATTTAAAAAACTAATATATGAGAAGAAGAAAAACTCTTACCGTGGCCTTCCACCCAACATTTAGATTTATCGACGACTTTTTATAAAATTACGATAGTTACTTCCAATCACTCTCTACGCGATCATGCTAGTGAACTTAAAATGATAGATATCACAGAAATCGACACACCTGTTTTGCATTTGGATGTCTGACTAGAAAAAAAGATGGCCATGGTTGCCTAGCTAGCACCAAAGTTTAATGAGAAACATAGTATCATCAACTTTTCTAACGTCAACTTTTCTTATATAGCCATAATTACTCTTCTGCTGTATATGGGGTTTCTCTCCCAGTTGATTCTATACTCAAGAAGCATGATCTACGTATGAACGACTTTTAAAAGTAGGCAACGCTATTGAGAATCAATAAAACAAGTTAATAAAACAAGAACATAAGTACTCTCGTTTAAAATCATCATCATTTAAAAAGTTCTATGATTGATACAATGACCTTGTCAGCAAATACAGTCTAACATTTCGTCGATTGCTGGCCGACTTTTTCACACTTATTGTTATACTATTATTTACAATTGTCTACTACGATTTTAAAATTCTTTTTTCTCGATTGTGGCAAGTAGAACACTGCGCGTTTGACCAGTCAGCATGAGATGCCCAATTCTTCCATCCCTGATATTTAAGAGGTCCATGTTTGTTCTGCTCCTCATTAGTAATGTTTCAAAGGTCTTATGAGCTTGGTTGCTTTTTGTTATTTTCCTATATCATTCCAACTACCTAGAAATGTTCTAAATGACGGCTGTTGTTTTCCAAATACTAGTATATATATTGTGAACTTTTTAAATTTTATTTTGCTGATTTAAAAAAAAAATTTAAGGAAGATCGATAATTGAATTGATGAATTTATTAAAAATGAATATCTGTCTATTAATTGGTACATTTTTGAAATTGTAAAATGTGATAAAAGCTCTTGCAATTTGGGATAGAATAATGATTTTTATTCATCCATCTTATAAATAGAATTTTGATACAAGATTGCCAAGATTCTATAACAGAATCAAAATATCCGAGCACCTGCATTATGTTTTCACCATAATGCTATAAAAAGAACTAGATTGATGACAGAGTACAAGCACACCATGTGATTACCTTTGGGACGTACACGTTGTCATTACCTTAGATAGGTACACGTTGTGATTACCTGAGGGACGTACACGTTGCCATTACCTGAGGGACGTACACGTTGTCATTACCTGAGGGATGTACACGTCGTCATTACCTGAGGGACGTACACGTCGTCATTACTTGAGGGACGTACACGTTGTCATTACTTGAGGGACGTACACGTTTGCCATTACCTGAGGGACGTACACGTTGATGTATAGACAATCTTCGTCCTCCCTGTTAAACCCGGGGCTGTGCAGGTTAACATATGACATGTCGGGGGTCTGGGGACAGGCTGGAGGAAGCTCCCCGGCATACTTCACTGCACCCCAGGGGTCAGGTCGCTGCGTCCTCTAAAAATAAGTCAAATAATGATAGATGCAGCGTACACTTATTTCCAGCATGCTTTATTTTTCCAGGCCGCTATATCGAATGAATGCTGTGAATCTATTATGTTATTATTTATAAATAGGGATTGTATCGTAGGCATTATGTAAGTAATGCTTGATGTGAAGTAAGGTCAGAATAGCTTTTTGTGTGTACATTAATAATTAATGGGGTAAAAAGGTGTTATTACATTATGCACTAATTACAAAATTGTTATCAGCTTGGTTGTAATACACACGACCAATCAGCTGCTGGAAGACATGTACCACCAAGATGCCAGAATGCTAATTGTATAAACAGTACTGATTGGGTATTGTTTACATGAAACACGTGTTCATTCAATCGGCGTTTGTATAAAAGAGTTGTAGCTCCGTAATTCAGTAGGTATATTTGGCTTAATGAAAAGATCTTGGATAGTTATCGCGATATGAAGATGACTGATGAGGCAGACGATGTAATGTAAAGGCGATACATGTTTAAAGTCAAACAGACTCTGGCTTTGATAAACCCACCTCCAGTTCTAACCAAAACACACGATTCCTAGGAATTATTTTCCAATATTATCTTATCATGGCACAAAAAGATTTCACTCTTATCATGACACAAAAAGATTTCCCCTGCATCCAAAATCTGGGTCGCAGAACTTTAGATTTTTTAGTTTGGTTTTATCATGTTTAATCACTAAGACTTGTCGAAAAAATCAAATTCTTTCATCTTAAGCTCTTTTTTCATTCTTCGGCTACTTTTCAAAGCAATAACTTTATCTTGAGGACGATAAGTTGTGAACATGATGAAGTTATACAGAATAGATTAATGAGGGCATCAAGTGATAAGCTATCAAACAACACAACAAAATGCTGAGAAAACCAGTATTTCATTGACACGGACTAGCATGTTGTTATACCTCTGCCGAAATTTCCTAAGGGTTGCAGTCTGCTGATTGATGCAGGTTAGATGATTGTTTCTTCAAGTGGGTGAAATATTAAGAATTAAAAGAAAACAAAGGTCCTATTTATGTATAATGTTAATAAATGATTAATGAAACAGAAGATAAAAGACAGGAAAGTATATCATCTTAACTCGTGTTGTAGAAATCGTATTTAACGATGTTCTGTATATAGCAGCAGATGCTTAAAAACAATAAGACAGCTGTCTTAAATATATACTTTAATTCTTCAATGGATTGTTTAACCGAATTGCAGGAATCATCAGTGTGTTCTCATTATGTAACAGATCTCTATCTCTCTCTCTCTCTCTCTCTCTCTCTCAACAATTAGCGAAAATTAGTAAATGCAATTTTCTTACCACAAATCTGAGATTTCCAATTGGAGGTTTCGCATAAGGAATTCCCAGAAAATTGGCGACTTTCCTCCTGGGTAAAGGTTCTGTCACGACCCCCTGAACCTTTCCATATTCTGTTTCCTTAATTGAGGATTTCTCCGGCACCTTCAAGGAACACACTACCCCTACAAAAAGCATCCAGTAAAAACAGTCTGGGATGATACCCGCCATTACACACTATCCAGATTGTAGCTCCTTGGGTAGATGACTTGTAATCCAATGGTGATGGTACAGAATGAGTTCAAGGAAAACCCAGATGTCTAATCACTGTCGCTAATAGTAGCAGAGTGCACGCTGGTGGTGTATATTGTTAAGTGGTATGCGCATTGCCTCTGTTTACCCCGACAGAAGGCACCGATGCTGACGCTGCTTGTAGATCTACTCACTTTTAGTACAATAAAAAGGTCATTATGACGAAAGCCAACAAGCAGTGTAAAGGGCTATTTGTTTTGAAATAATCTGGTAATGTCTTTGTTACTGAATGAAGATATATATCACTCATTAGGACAGAATACCTTCGTCTGGTATGTAAGGGTGCTGACTCTGAAAATAATACGTTTCCAGTATTTATTCAATTTAAAAAATCTGAGGAATAAAGTGATTGAAAAGCGACCTATCGACATTTCATATCTCGGATTTCATTTTTCATCACTGTGTGGAAAATCTGTGTCATTTGATTAACAATTCTCTCTCAAGTGATAAATTAATTGAAATTTGCCTTGTACTTATAAAGTGGTCAATTTGAGAATTGACATTTCCAAAGTTTTTTTTTTAGTTAAATCTGACATATGTTTGATATTCTAAGTAAAAACTAGAGGTACTGTGAGTAATGAGCTCACTAGATGATACCCCCGCCTCCCATACGATTATAGTGGCAAAATCCATGTTTTGCTCTGGGAAACCCAAATAAGTGTCACTTCAAAAAGTAAAATAGCATTATATTATAAAGAATCTGTGAAAGTATCATCAAATTTTATTCAGTTGTCATGGAGAAGTTGCGGATAAGAGATGGATACCCTTCAATATCATAGAGAGAATGACAGTGTCCATGTTTTGTTAGGGAAACCTGAAATATGTGTCCGATCAAAAAGTAATATAGGAGGAGCACAGTGGCAATATGTTACAAAGATTCTGTGAAAGTTTCATTATGGGATAAGAGATGGGTACCCCAAAGCGTAACAGACGGACGGACATCTCGATTACTATACACCCCTTGCTTTTCAAGCGGGGGTATAATAAATCATTAGTCTCTATAAGCGTAGAAATGATAGTAATTAGTTCAATTAAAAAAATTCTTACAATTCTTTAATATAAGGATATGGAGATAACGAACATTGTTCAATCTCAAAGTCCATTAAACAATACAAAATAGGAGCAGAGCAAACACGGACCTCCGAAACATAGAGGTGGGATCAGTGCCATGTAGAAGTGAACATTTGTCGTGTGCTGCTTGTCATGATCGGGAAATAATGGAAAAATCCGTCGTCAATTCAGTGTATAAATAATGGACTAACAATTAGTATGAAAAACGGCAGTCAGCATTTGACTCAAAGGTCATTGTATCGACCATAGAACTTACAAAATGATGACTTTAAATGAGACTGCTGATATTCTTGTTTCATCAACTTGCTTGTCAATAATTTACCTCGTTTTAGAAATTAATTGTTCATATGTAGAGCATGCTCTTGCGTATCGAATCAACTGAGGTATATATACTCCGTATGCAGGTGATGAAGATATATTGCTGCATAAGTAAGGGAAGTTGACGATAGAAAAGTTAAAAGTCATCACGTTTGTCATGTAGCTTGGTTTTTAGATTACCATTAAAGTCTTTTTCAAGTAAAATATCAAAGTATGAAACAGATGTGTCAGACTCTTTGGTATCTTTTATCTCAAGCTCACCAGGATATATCGTTTCGTCGTAGGAATGGAAATTACCATTGTTAATTGACAATACGTCGTCGTTATATCTAAATGTCGAGTTGAAGGCCACAGCAAGTGTTTTCTTCTTTTCACGCATAAGATTTTGCACAAATTCTGCTTCATATGAATGTAAAAATAGGTCTGCTAATAATGGAGCGCAATTGGCACCTTTGGGAATTCCAATAGATTGTTGGAATACTTGGTCTCCAAAAGCAACATAGAGATTGTCAATAAGAAACTCAAACATCTCTTTGATGTCAACTTCAGAGTACTTGTGTGTGCAATCAGAATGTGTTTTAACAAAATAATTTTGCAAATGACCAATGACCAGGTAAGTAAATTTACGAGTTCCATTTTTATTGAAAAAGCAGCTGACAATGATATCAAAAAGCCTGGACTTTAATTTATCGTGGGGAATGGTTGTGTATAAAGTTGAAAAGTCGTAAGTTTTTAAGCTGTTGAATTTGGTAAGATCTTGTGATTTCAAATTGTCCAAAAGTTCTTTAGAATTTTTTGAGTATCCACATCTGATTCACACCGCTTCTTGAATATATTGTTGCACAGTACTCTTGAAGTTTTTCCTTCACTACTGTCATATCTTAGTGAGGAGTAACGAAAGAAGCTTGTTGAACATTTACTGGAACCCGCAATGTATCTTTGTTTGTAAGGATTTATGCTGTATGTTATAGATATATTCTTATTGAAATAAACACAACATATAATGCACAAGAACCATTTCATAATGAAATAAGCACGAACACTTTAGTTTTAAGTAGTACTGACACCTCATTATATATGTTACATGTATGTGGAAAGTGATAGGCTGCATCTTAGCTTTAGAAATCATTGACGCCTGTATGATTGTAGAATGACAGACAGCACCTTAGCTTAAGAAAGTATTGACACCTGTTTGATACGTATAATGCTAGGCAGCACCTTAGATTAAGAAAGTATTAACCCCTGTATGAAATGTAGAATAATAGGCAGCATATTAGCTTAAGAAAGCCTGTATTATAAGTAGAATGACAGGCAGCACCTTACATTAAGAGAGTATTGACGCCTGTATGATATGAAGAGCCTTTAAAGACAAAGAGTTCTTTGAATTTTGATTTGCAGCAATTGTCCACTTGTGCTAATTTGTAAGCCAACCTTTTTTGTATGTAGAATGACAGGCAGTACCTTAGCTTAGGAAAGCCTGTATGATATGTAGAATGACACTAGACACAGGCAGAACATTAGCTTTAGAGAGTATTGACGCCTGTATGATATGTAGTAAGCAACACCTTATCTTAAGAAGGTATTGACGCCTGTACCTATGTAGAGAATGACAAGCAACACCTTAGCTTTAGAAATTATTGTCGCCTGTCTCGATATGTAGAGTCTTTAAAGACAAGTTGTTCTTTGAAATTTGATATGCGGTAATTATCCACTTGTGTTCTTTTATTAGCCAGCCTTTTTTATAATTCATATTCCTATGAAGAAGAATTATTTTATTTAAAAAAAAACCCTCAAAATAAAACACTTCAGATCACAGGCACTCTTTTGTCTCTTTAAGCTGTTTTAATTATAGCGTTTTCGACCGATACATAAAAACTCTCTTTTTTATGTATCAGTCGTCAATGAAAACGCAACACTCTAATTTTAGAGTGAAAAGTATATACGGGTTATAACTATGTACCAAAGAAGTTAGGACATCTTTTACTTTGCCAAATCAGTTATGTAACGGTTGAATGAATTTCTTTCCTCTACTTGAAGTTGCTTTTTAGCCCTCTTAACAGAAATCAAATTTTTGCATTTTTAATAAATTTTTAACAATATTTTGGGTTTTCAAGGTTTTGTAGCTGTTTATCATAAGTATTGTACTAAAATCCAGGGAAAATATCCTTCTTTCTTTACCGGATGTGATGCCTATATTTCCTCAGAATGACTGATTTTCATTGCTAATGCTGGAGATTCTCAAAATAAAGAAAAAAAGAGCTGCAGATGCAAATGTACACTATTTAACGACTCATCAGGCTCATGTATTTCAATAGCATAAATAACAGTTTCTTGACCGGAAGTCCAACAGTTACTACACTACGCCAAGTTAGAGAAAATTCGACTGCAGTATCTGAACAACAGGCAATTAAAAATGCCCAAGAATATTTATTTCGCTCAGATAAAGACATTGATAAACTAATGCATGGTAGAAATCGGACTGCGTACATGTATGTTGTACATGGCGGACTAGCATGTTTTGATTAAATGGTCGGAAGGGGGGTGTTTTATTTAAATGTTATCTTTTAAGGGGGCTAAAAATCAACTTTCGTTAATGGAATGAAAACCATTCAACCATTAAAGAACTGATTTGGCAAAGTAAAAGATGTCCTAACTTGTTTGGTACATAGTTATATCCCGTATATAATTTTTCACCCTAAAATTAGAGTGTTGCGTTTTCATTGACGGTGAGCACGGGCACTGGAAGTTAGTGTAAATATATAGTATGTGTATGTATAAAAAAAAGAAAAACAGGCAAATTCGGGTTTGGGGTATCTAGGCCTTTCTCAGAAAACTTGACGCGATTAATCGTTCAGATATAACTTACTTTAAATATATTTACTATTTCGTTCCGCTTCAATGCCGTCCCTTCGAAGGAAAAGATGTTTTTATACCCCCAAGTGCCAAAGAATTTCGCTAGACTGCCTTACTTCCGCTTTATCCAAACTGAATAAAAAGGTAAGTTCTGATTAGTCAATAATAAAATAACATTTAGACAGATGGATATACATGAAGCGAGAAACAATTAATTTGTCATGGTATGTTGAAGATATTGCAGTTTATATATTTTAGCCTTTTCACAAATAATTTCTAAGAATAATGAAGAATATTAAAGTATATAAAATATGTGTATGACATTGACCAATCAGAACTTACCTTTTTAATTTTAAAGCGGAAGTAAAAAAATTCTTAGGCACTTGGGGGTATAAAAAATCTTTTCCTTCGAAGGGACGGCATTGAAGCGGAACGAAATAGTAAATATATTTAAAGTAAGTTATATCTGAACGATTAATCGCGTCAAGTTTTCTGAGAAAGGCCTAGAATACCCCAAACCCGAATTTGCCTCAAAAAGAGTGTCCTACCCTTCTTTTTTTTATACATACACATACTATATATTTACATTAACTTCCAGTGCCCGTGACGGTGAGTATATTTAAAAACAGCTTATAGAGAAAAAGAGTCACATTTTTGATAACATATAGTGAATATTAGAATACCAAGATAGGAAAAAGGTGATCGACCCCAAATTTTAAAAGAAAAAAATAGAAAGGGGGGGTTCCATACCCTAAGAGCCTGTGATTCAGATTTATCGTTGAGTTTTATCAATTAACAATAGTAACTTCCATTAATATGTTTATACGATATATCCCAGTGAACTTGAAATAAAAATAAAACATC